CCCTCTCAAAAAAAAAAAAAATCTATTACAACTCATTAACAAAAAGAAAAAAAACTACAAAATGGGCAAGAGATCTAAATAGACATTTTTCCAAACAGAATATTCAAATGGCAAATAAGCACATAAAAGATACTAAAATCACTAGGTATCATGAAAATGCAAATCAAAACTATAATAAGATACCACTTCATACCCAGTAGGATGGCCAGAATCAAAGTCACATAATAACAAGTGTCAGCAAGGATACTGTAGGAAGCATAAAACTACAGCCACTTTTGAAAAGTCTGACAGTTCCTCAAAAAGTTAAACCCAGAGTTACCATTCAGCCCAGCAATTCCATGACTAGGCATTTACCCAGGTAAGATTCAAACTCATGTCCACACAAAATCTTGCAACCAATTTTCAGGGCAGCCGAAAAAGTAGAAACAATCCAAATATTCATTACTGGTAAATGAATTTGAATTTTTTTTAATGTGGTATTATCCATTAAATGGAATTTTATTCAGGCACATAAAGGAACAATGTACTGATATGTGTTACAACATGAATAAACCTGGAAAACATTATGCTAAGCAAAAGAAGCCAGACACTGAAGGCCACATATTATAGGAGTCCTCTTACAGGGAATGTCCAGAATAGGCAAATCTATAGAGACAAAACAGGCAAGTGGTTGTCTAAGGCAGGGCAGAATGGGGAGATTAGGGAGTAATAGCTAAAGATTTCTTCTTGAGATGATGAAATGTGCTAAAATTGACTGGTGATTGAATATATGATTGAACTCTATGAATATACTAAAAACTACTGGACTACTGAAAGCAAGAAATGAGAAAGAATGAAAGAAATAAAGTAGTAAGATCACTGACAAAAAAAAAAAAACATCTCCACAAAATAAAATCAAACCAGGTGTTCAAAAGAAACAGTTACTATTGTTCATAACTCAAGGAGAACTTTACTTCATTGGTCCTCATTTAAAGAGGGCACTTTTCATTACAGAGAACATCATCCTCGACAAGGCAGGTACAGTAAGTTTGGTCATGTGATGAAGTCTACTAGGATTTTAAAAATAATGTCTTTCATGGTAGGCTAATGGCCAAGCTCAATAAAACAGAAACAGTTCCATAGGAGCTAGAACAAGGTCCTACAGAGGCAGCTCTCTGATGGTTTAGCTTAATCCAAAGATTAAAATATGAATATCAAAAAGAATGTTTGGGCCATATAATATTCAGAAAATCTCTATGGATATCATTTTCTGCAAATGACTTTTAGGTTAGACTCTTCAAATATCTGGAGTATTAACTTCTTCTGTTATTGACTAAAGGCAGATCCAGGTGTTTGGTTCTTCATCCCACTCTCCCTCCATAGTATCTCATTCACTCCCATGGCCTCATGTGCAGATGCAACCACTCATCCAGTTTACATGTTTACTGAGCACCTGACATATGCCAAGTACTGTGGTGGGCATTTGGGAAACATCAAGGAGCAACGCAGATCAAGAACCTGGCCTGTTTACCCTCTAGCCAGGGGAGGGAGGGTCCACAAACGAGAAGTAAATTACATGGTCAGGTTGGATGGTGACATGTACTACATGAAGAGATGAGAAGACACACAGTTAAGAGAAATTACAAGTGCCAGGTAGGGGGACCAGGAACAGAAGACTACAACTTTAAATAAGGTGGTCAGGGTAGGCTTCATAAGAAGGTGACATGTGAGTTAAGATGTGAAGGAGGCGAGAGGCTCTTCCATGTGGACAACTGGGAAGAGAGCACACCAGGCAAAGGGAGAGCAGTGAGAAGATCCTGGGCGGGTGGAGCACGAGGGCCTGGTGTCCCCAGGGACCAGCTATCATGGTGGCAGTGGAGTGGGCAAGAGGGAGGGAAGCAGGGGGCCAAGCCAGAAAAGAGAAGGGGCCAAACCATGCAGGGCTCCTGCTCAGTAAGATGGAGGAGCCCCTGGAGGGGGTTTAGCAGAGGAATGACATGGACTGACTTTTTATTTAAAAAGTCTCAGTCTGGCTGCTGTGTTGAATATGGACTATAGAATGCAATCAGGGAGGCTACTGCAATAATGCCAGAGAGGAAAAAGGGTGGCCTGGACCTGGAAACACAGTGGCAACGGTGAGGAATAATCAAACTCTGGGTATAATCTGAAATAATGCTCAGAACTTCACACCTGCCTGGATATGAGAGAGAGAGAAAAGTCAAAGATGTATTGGAGTGTTTTGTCTGAGCCAATGAAAAGATGGAGTTGGCAACAGCTGAGATAGCGAAGCCTCAAGGTGGAACAGGCTTAGGGGAGGGGAAACAGATCAGGAGATTCACTTAGGTCCTGCTGAGCTTAAAGTGTCAGACATCTATGTGAAAATATCAAGGAAGGAGAGGGATCTATGAGTCTCAAGGAGAGAAGAGGTGTGGGATTTATGTACATTAAGAGTCATGAGCACATGTCACATGAAGTCCTGAGTCTGGATGGAATCACTAAGGTGGAGGACCAGGCCTAGACCGTTCCTGCCAACATCAGAAGGACAGCGAGCAAAAGAGGAGCCCAATCAGGGCTCCGGCCAGGAGGTCGGAGAAAGCCGAGAGAGAGGGTAGGTAGTCCCTGGGGCCAAGTGAAGAACAACTACACACCGGAGGGAGGGAGCAACTGTGTCAAATGCTACTGGTCATTCAAAAGTAATTTAAGACTAAGAACTGACCACTGAGTTTAGTAACAAGAAGAGTCTCAGTGAAGTGTTGGGGGCAAAGCTTAGTGGAGTGGGTTCAAAAGACATGGGAAAAGTGAGGAATTGAAACAGACTACAGACAACTCTTTTGAGTTCTTCTCCAAAGGAAAGGAAAGAAATGGGACAGTAGCTGGTAGGAGTGAGAACAAGAAAGAAATAAAATTGTACTTACAAATACATATTTAAAATATTTATACAAGGATAAATAATATGGAGAAAAAGGGGGGAAACTGAGGGTAGGTGACAGTGAAGTCTGGAGGTTCTCTTCATATTGCTTCAACTTTCTCAGTGAACTTGGAAACAAGATCATCAGCCTAGAGTGAGGATGAGAGGGAGTACTGGCAATCCGAAAGGAGGGATCATTATAAAGCAGGCATCTAGGAGAGAAGAATGAATGGACTGAGGTTACAGATTGACGCCTCATGGCATGTAGGGCCCACCTGGAGTATAAACATCAGTGAGACAAGTAACCCGGCAGTGTGCCTTTTGACAACAGCCATGTTCAGCTGTGTGGCACAGGTACACAGCAGGTGGGAAGCTGGAATGACCAGGATTCTAGTTTTGTCAAATGAGCATGATGAAGCAAGAGACAGACTACAGGGATGGACCATGGAATTTAACCTGAGTGAGGAGGGGACGAGGACATGCAGCAGGTGAGGGACCCTGAAAAGGTGACACATCAATAAAATGGAGGCCTAGTCAGGGAGAAGGACTGCTGGGTAGGAACAAGAAGGGATGTGCTAGAGGCAGAATGGTTCCCAGCCGTACATCCTTAGCCTGTGTCTGTCTCTCGTGAGTCCTAAAACCAACATATAGTCAGGGGTCTGCTAGACACTCTTAAAAGGATAGCTCCCAGGCACCTGAGACCAACCGTATTAAACCAAATACATCCGTTTCCCCCAAACCTCCTCCCTCTTTCCATTATCTTTCCCCACTCGATTCTGCCTCAGCCAGAAACCCAGCAGACTCTCCTGATTCTTCCTTCCCATGACCCCCCACCAACCTCTATCCTCATACCCAGCTGGTCACCAAAACCTATGGATTCAACCATCTTATTTTCTCTCTGCAATTCATCTACTTATCTTGGTCCCACTACAGTTCCTTTATTTCAGGCTCTCACTTCTTAGTACTACACTGTCTTCTCCTGACTTTCAGTCTTCTAACACATTTTGCACAAAGCCTCCAGGATGGTCTTCAGATCTGACCACATCTTTCTTACTTAAATTCTTAGGTGGCACCTCACTGCCTTTAAAATAAAGGACAAGCTCCTGGAATGAAACAAATATTCCTGTAGGACCTGTTCCCCTCCCCCTTCAGGCTCAGTGCCTTGTCTTTAGTACCAAATCATCTCATTTATACCTATGAATGAGAGCAGATTTTTCATATTATATTTTAATTTATCACCTGTCAGTCTCTTCCACTATACTGTATTTTTTTTTTACCACAAGATCCCTGGATTCCTGCCATATCTGAATTGGAGACCCCAATGCCAGAGAGAATTTGGTACAAAGTAAGCAATAAATAAACACATACATTAGTGGTAGGATAAAGCTAGAATATTTTAACCTAATAATAGGACTGGCTAAAGATTGTTCATCCCTACTAGTTACTGCTACCCAAACACCCCACCCATTGTGGAAGCTCCTGTGATGTTATAGCTGGATTCTTGTAGACACTGTAAATGCTTAGACAAAAAAAGATCAACCACTTTTTAGGAGTTGTAAGTGTGTAGAGATTCTTTAAGCATTTAGGAAACACCTCTGGTCTGGAGAAAAGGGAAAAATTGATCATCATCACATGTCATTCAGAACATATCTACTGACTACCTACTGGGCTGGTTCGGCGTACTGGGAAGATAGTGGTTAGCAAAACAGAGTGCCTAACCTAATGGCAGTTACAGTCTAATAATATCAATCACTGTTTATTAAACACATACTGTGTAGAGGTATTGTCCTAAGCACTTTGCATATAGTATCTCATTTAATCTTAATAAAACTAGAGAAATGGGTACTATTATAATTTTAGAAATGAGGAAAATGAGGCTTAAAATATTAAGTAACTTCCAAAGGGTACAGCCAATAATTGGCCCATGTGGTATACCTGACTCCAAAGCCTTAAACCACCATACAATTCAATCTTCTTACTGTCAATTAGTAAATACCACAGAGTGACTTGGTGTCATTTTATTATCAGGACACCATCCTCTCTCATCCCTCACTTTTAGGTATCTTGAAAGATGCCCCCTCCTCAGAGGACAACACAGTCTGAACTTCCATCAAGATATGTACCCCACTGTAGGACAAATACGGAAATTCACTGTACAATTTTTTTTTAATTGGCATGTGCTCCTTTGTACAGCTGCATTTTTTTTTTAATGGTCAGGAAACAGAGGTGGTGGGGTAAGGGGAGCTAGTTCCTTCCAAGACAAGGACAACTTTCAATCAGGAAGAAGCCAAAGGCTTAACAAAGAATTATTTAGAAGTAACAGTTCGTAGTGTTTCATTTTGTTGTTTTAAAGCAGGTGAGGAGGAAAGGTCAGGAGAAGGGAGGTAAAGGAGTAAAGGGACCAGGAGACCTGATTTCAAATTGCTTTCTTTTACTTTTAGGAGAGAAGGATTTAATGTGTTTCTAGGTTACAGAACAAAAGGAAAGTATATTTCTCCATGTTTAGACTAAGAAAGGAAAACAAGGATTCTGGCCAAACTGTAAGAAGCAGGAGTGAACAGAAGGACAGCAAGCTCCCCTTGTCTGTGGGACTATTACCTGGCTAACTGGACCAACCAGAGGTAAGGATGAGCAGCAAGCCATTACTAGTAGACTGACACAGACACAGCAAAAGCCCTGAGATCCTTAGGCTGAGTATCATGAAATCTGAAAGCTAGTTTTGCTGCTGTTGACCTTGAACCAAGTAACATAACCTCTCTGGAATCAGACATTTGGAAGATTTAAACCCTTTCCATTTCCACCTCTTACTTCATATGTGGTTCTACATCCCTATCCCTTTATTTTTACAAATTTAATTTTAGTATATATTTTGAGTTACATGTTCCCTGTTCTTAACACATTCTTTAATCCCTCAACCACCTTGTGACAGATTGCCAAAAAACCAAAATTGTGTTAGGATACGGCATATTTTTTATATTAAAATATATATAACATAATATTAAAAAAATCTTAAGTCCATACTCTTTATAACACTAATACAGCATCTGTTTTTGTGTATTACCTTCCAATTTTTTCCAAATGGTGCTGATAATTTATTTTTTGACTCAAAACTGCAAATAAATACTACATTTTGACAATATTTAGTCCACCTTTTAAAGAGCAGTAATCACTGATGGAAAGTTTCTCACCTCTGATAAGGAGTTACTAACTTACCTACAAGAAGCCTTCTGAGTAGAATAGATGAATTCACATTTTCCATGGATGCAGTAACCATTGAGGTTTTCAGGACAAGGCATGTGGTTTCCAATATAAACATCTTCTCTTTGATCACTAGCATCTTAAAAGAACATAAATTAGTTCAATAAATAGTGGAAAGCAAATTGAAAAATACAGACTTTTCAAAGCTTCTGAGACAATAAATATATGCACCCTGTGCTGTGTAATTTGGAAAGGAAAATTAATTAGGAGGCTGGATAAGAGCCAAGGTTACATTAATGTCACAAACACAGCAGATAGACTGTTTAGAATCAAAGCATTTAAAAATATTTGCAGGATGTGACTACTATGAATTACTGTCTAAAAACAATCTTCCAAAATCAACTGAATAAACAGCTACACATCTTTGCCAGAGAAATAAATGCTTCTTTGACTCACCTCAGTGACAGAGAGACTGTGTACACGACATTAGCTTTTGGAGAACTGGATGCACTACTCCCTCACCTGGGGGCTACAAAACCAGGGCCAAAGAACACCGGGATGGCAGAGGGCAAGTTATGAGACTCTGAAATTCTATGGTGGAAGGTTTATATTTGGAATGAAAGTATATCAAGCATATTGACTTCTTTCCAAGTGAAAATATCTTTAATGTTTTCTTCATACAGTTTTTCTTAGTATATGTTGTTTTAAAAACTTCAAATAATATAGGAAACAAATAAAAAAAGAAATTTACAATCACCTGAGATCCCTCTATCCAAAGAAAACTATTGTAAACATGTTGATGAACCTCTGCTCAGACTTTGGAATACTGATTTGAATGGAACTGAAGAAAATGGTAGCATGGTGAGTAATTCCACTGTCAGAAATGGGAAGAGAGGAAGGAAAGACAGACAGGGGCAGAAAGATGAAGACACGGGGACCCAGTCTTCAAAATCAATCAGATTCATGCATTTATTCTTTTTCTATTCCTCTCTCTTATATATTTACATATGCACATAATCATTTTCATACCCACACATTTTGGAATGGATTTCTTTTTTACTGAGCTTTCTGGCATATACACTAATACATTAATCCTCAGCTCTACAGACCCAGAGTTCCCCAATATTTAAAGACCTGTCCATGTGTAGGGAAAATTCTCAGGCTTCCAACGGTTTCTTACAGTTTCAGCTCACAGATTCTGTGCATTATTAACTGTATGACGCTGAGCATACTACCCTTTCTAAGTCTGAGATTTCATATCTATAAAGCTAGGATCATAATAGGACCTCTACTCCATGTGGTTTTGCGAGGATAATGTGAGATAATTAATGCATGTACTAGGCCACAAAAATAACCAGCCATCTATATAGCACATCATGTAACAGCAATGTCTTATCTCCCCAAAATATAAGTAAAGGTGTTAATATAATTTGAAGAATGTTAATGGAAACAAATTAAGGAATGGAACAGGAGGCTGTATATGTATGGGAAGGGGGAGAGCAAGGAAGTGGGAACAGAGGTGCCAAGTGTGAAGAAACCAAGAACTGAAAATGCAGATTTTCTGGAGATCAAAATTTACTTTTAAAAGGAAACATTTTTAGTGATTATTAAGCTCTATTAAGTTACATGTTAACTAGAGTAGAAAGATATGTCATCCCCTGGCAAGACCAAACTGATGCTTTTGCCTCAAAATTTATGTGTTTATTGTACTGATTTATGCCTAAACAAAGAGGTGAACTAGAAGGTGAGACCCAACATGTAAATTATCAATATTAAGGGTATCTCTGCTATTTTGTGACTTTGGTCAAATCACTTTCCTCTAAGGAAGTTGAATGAGATCAGCATTGTCCAAAAGAAGCATAATATAAGATACATATATAATATTTTTATTTTCTAGTAGCATATTTTTAAAAAGTAAAAAAAAAAAATGGGTAATTTTAATCATGTATTTTATTTAATCTAATATAACAAATAAATGTCATTTCAACATATAACCAATGTAAAAAAATTGTGATATTTTATACTTGCTTTTCCTAAATGTCTCCAAAATTCCAGTGAGCACTTTACACTCACAGCACATCTCAAGACCAGCAAGCCACATTTCAAGTACTCCCTAGCCACATGCAGCTAGTAGCTACTACTACATATGGCAACACAGAATAGATGACTTACTCATGTATCATTTACTGATCACCTTCCACATGCCAAGCACTCTGGTAGGTGCTGGGGATAGACAAATATTAAGACACATCCTGTCTTCGAAAGGCTTATAAGGTCTCCATGAGCTCCCAAACTATAATTCTGTTGTGGCAAAATATATCAAGACCTCCTCTGGGCTGCTATAATCCTAGGCACCCACTTCTCTACTACCATACTCATGATATTATCTCATAACTATTTGAGATTTGTTAAATCAGTCTCTACCATGAGACTGTGAGCTCCTTGAGAATCTACACATTTGTATTATTCATTTCTGTATTACTCCTAACATTTAGACCATAGTACTTTTCTTCCTACGGTTTCAAACTAAAAGTGCTGTTCCACGATCACAACCAAGCCATAAGTGACTTGAGGAATGCAACTGTCTCCCATAGCACTCATCACCCTGCAACTTCTCAGAAGGTGATACACCATGGAGCGCATAATACTGGGACTATAGAGTCTGAGGGTATGTACCAACCTATAACAATAAAGTCCTACAATGTACATAAAAATAGGACCATACAGATATACAGAGGCTATGGTATAATCTGCCATAAGGAGGTCCTAGAAACAGCAGGAAATTTCAAGAGTAATGCAGAGCTAAAAACTAGCAGACAATTCCGCTACACGACAGCAATAAGAAAAGGTACCTAAAGAACAGGGTTTCAAGAAATTAACAAAGTATAGCATTTACCAAATGAATTAAAGAAAGGACATGGTATCAAGCTATAGACTAAGCAAAGTCATATAAACATGGACATGTCCACCAACACTTTGAAGTCTGTGGCTATTAGAGTTTAAATTTAGCACTCTGCTCAATGTCAACACCATTCATTTCATTACACTTACATACTATTTCTGCACATAGCCATGTGCTCAGTGAAGCTACAGAAGATATAAAGAAAAGGCATACCTGGTCCCTGCCCTTAAGAAGATTATAATCAGTTTAGGGAATCAATATAAAGATACAAAAGCTGAACAACACAAGGGAAGGGATCCCACAAAACAGTTTTACAATTAAATGTCAAAAGAAAGCTTTACAGTACTAGATGCTATGGAAGTTCAAGTTCAAAGGAGAACTAGTTGCAGGTGAAATTACTCAGGGAAGGATTCATAAAAAGGGCAGGACTCAGCTTAGATCTCAAAGCATAGACAGATTTAGACACAGGACTCCTAGAAGCCAAAAGGAAGGCATAATGCACCCAGGGCTCTCAAGGACAAGAAGTAGAAGAACCTAGCAAGGGCTATATATTCACACTGGGAAGGGGAGCACATCAAAGTTGGAAAAGTAAACTGAAATCACATTACGGAAAAATTTGAACTCCAGGTAAGAAATGTTTTCTTAAGCATACAGACAAGGAAGGTACTACAGGCCTCCTAGATGAAAAGCAACAGACTGAAAGCCATGTTACATAAATGACAGTGATTACCTTGGAGGATGGTGTTTAGGGAGAATAAGAAGTGACTACGGGTATGAGGTTCCTTTTTGGGGCAATGAAAATGGTCTAAAATTAGATTACAATGTGATGCTTCTACAACTCTAAATACATATTTTTTTAACCACCTGAATTGTACACTTCAAATAGGTGAACTTAATGGTACATAAATAATATCTCAAAAAGATGTTAAAAAGTTAATTGGGGAAAACAAATCCATTCACAATAGCATCAAAAAGAATAAAATACCTAGGAATAAACCTAACCAAGGAAGTGAAAGACCTATACCCTGAAAACTACTAGACACTCCTAACAGAAATTAAAGAGGACACTAACAAATGGAAACTCATCCCATGCTCCTGGCTAAGAAGAATTAATATTGTCAAAATAGCCATCCTGGGGGGCGGAGCCAGGATGGCGGCGAGAGTAGAGCAGTGGAAATCTCCTCCCAAAAAC